ACCAAGTATTACAACTATTCATCTAGAAATGAAACGCCGTAACGCACGAAGTGTGAACGCAATGGCAATGAAATTTTGCATTTTTGTAACGAACAGTATCGAGTTTCTCGTCATAGGGCGGGAGGACGGTCGCATCAACAATGACAAGACGTACTTGCAGGAGAAAGCGAAAATAATGATTCGTTACGACCTCTGCCGTAGTCGCATGACCATTTTGAAGTGCGTACAGTAACTTCTTTCTGTTACTTAAAGGTCGTGGTTCTCTTGCCGTTGTGGACATATTTACTTGGACTAAACAGCTTTTCGTACCAACAGAAATGCTGTAAAGGATGACCCATGGCTGTGACACAACGAAAATATAAGAAAATGTTTTTGTAATGAGGCTTTCGTACTACAAGCGGACTGATGGGAATGAAATGGGATTTCAGTCAATTATAGGCGATTTTATGGCACGATAACAAAGAAACTGAGCAAAAATCAGAGGAAAGCTTTTGGTTTCTTAGCATATTTTCTAATAGAAAACAACACATTCAAGATACCAAAATGGCTGAAAAAAACTTAATATTTCAAGTAAGAAAATACGCCAGACTCTGCGACAAAGTTCAAGTAATAAAAATATAAGATACAAAACGCAAACAAATTAAGGCTACCAAATGTAAGATAAGGGGGTCATTTCAATATGTTTATTGATATTCAAGGTATATTCAAGATGTATCAAACTTTATTTATGATAGAATATCATATGCTTTGAAACTTTTAATACTCGGAAAGCAAATAAAATATCCTAATATAGATTATATTTCACAGATACCCAATGATTAATATGTACTGATGTGAAGTGTTTGTTTTTGTTTGTGTGTTTGTTTTGAATTTCGCGCAAAACTACACGAGGGCTTTCTGCGCTAGCCGTCCCTAATTTAGCAGTGTAAGACTAGAGGGAAGGCAGCTAGTCATCACCACCCACCGCCAACTCTTGGGCTACTCTTTTACCAATGAACAGTGGGATTGACCGTTACATTATAACACCCCCACGGCTGAAAGGGCGAGCGTGTTTGGTGTAAAGGGGATTCGAACCCGCGACCCTCAGATTGTGAATCGAGCGCCTTAACTACCTGGCCATGCCGGGTCATGTGAAGTGTTTGGCGGGATTGGGGAACGAGCTTGCAACAGTCCCTTTAAACAGGGATTTGTAGCTTTGGAAGCGCATTTAGTTTCATCTCCTCTAGTAGACGATGGAATTCTCTTTGCGATACTACATGAACTCAAAATCGTCGTCTCTGGCAACTAAATGATCTTCTTCCCCGGCCGACATTTTACTTGACATCATTGGTGTAATTGGGGCAGTTCGAGAACATTGCGTCATTGTGACGTTCCTGGTGTTTGCAGTCATGCTGCAATACAAATATTGCACCACATATGGTGTGTAGATACTTTTGTTGAGGGTAACTGAAATGGTAAAAAACAAGTAATGCTTTTCTAATCATATTGTGCTCTGGTTCCTGTCGTTAAATTATATGAAAAACTATACGTACTCCGAATAATAAGAGCTGAAAGCTAGAAATTAAAGAATTATTTCGTTTCTATTTTCGTTTGAAATTTATCCATCAAGTTTTCGTTTAGTTTTGTTTTTACAATAAAGTTGTTCAAAACAGTAATTATTAAGTAGAACTTAGTGGTGCCCAAATTCGACATCACTATATTCTTTCAAAATCTATAAATCTCGAATGTGAGTGTACAGTAGGGTGGTCATTTTTATGTGGTAACAACAGAATATCATAGAGTCTTTTATCTCATCTCTTTTTTTTTCTTTACTCCTTCCCTTGCACATTTTGTAGTTAAGGTGAGTTGTTGTTGTTTTAATCCTTCAATTTTGATTTATGTCTTAATTTGAAAAAAGTATAGAATCTTAAGAAGAAGTTCATGTCAGGTGGCGTGCGTGTTAAGAATAAAGACAAATTTAGCACCGTAAACACATTATTATACGCATCTTTTTTCAATTTTATATATATAAAACACATCTGATTATTTCAACCCTGTAGTAACGCCACCTACGCGACTGTACTTTAAAATAACAAAATTCATTAGCAGTTGATTATTCGTACTGGAAAAGTATAATTTTCATGTGTTCTTTATACTCCCAAACACTCCAGTATAATATAATTGAAGTTCTAAAAGCGGAATGAAATTAGATCTTACGGATTTTTATAAAGTTCTAATTGTAGGTTGAATTATTACGGATTTTAAGACTTGTAAAATAATCCTAAATTAACATTCCTGTTTCATTGAATTATTTAATTCAATTTTAGATTACAGTTAACTTTAAACAAATCTTCCAATGGAAGTCGCCATAATTGTATAAAGAATTCAGCTATTTACTACTATATTATTAAATGTCCCACATTATTAATATTAACTTCCGATCAGAACAACCTACCAACTTAGATCGAAGCTAAAAATCAACCTAATAATAAATATAGCCAGTAATGTAGCTACAAAAGATGCTCTTCCCCCGCGTAAAAAGTAATTGGGCCCTTACATTTATTTCCGTATAATTGTAGTTAGATTCAGGTCCCTGCAATTGCAGGAGCTGTAGGGGCATACTTATGTCACTGAGTATAAATAATTAAATATACTTTTCTTGCTGTCTTACTTATAAAAATTAGAATGCATTGCTTCATCAGTTGGTATATCCAGATCATAGCAGTTCGAAAGAACAGATGACTTGATGTATTTTTCATATATTATTGAAAAAAAGGGGAACAGATATTTCAGTATGAAGTTGACCATTAGTTTATCGTTTTATTGTTTTGTAACTCGCTGTTTGTGGCCATCTCTATGTAATTTCAATGAATTTTGTTGTAGACGGCCATTAACCAGCCCTCGATAAAATGAGGTATTCCATAATTACCAATGGTCATGTATTACAGATTAGGTAAGACATTACCAGATGCACAGTATCTACCAAATGGGGCCTAATCAGACATTTCGAAGTAGTAAAAACAGCAACAGCTTCCCAAATCACTCTTGTTTATCAAATTACGAGATTTTGAAAGTCTAAACGTCTGAAAACGTTTGACATGCCTTGCTATTATGATTGATGAAGCCCCGTTTTCGGTTCCTTTTAATCACTGATGCATTAAAACCGACATATTAAGAAGGTTGATAGTATAGTAAAAAATATTTTCTTTGTGTTATCTATCAAATTATAAAAAAAAGTGTCCACATTGAAGTTTAGGAAACATAATAAAATTTTGTTGCTCTCAAAGTCTAAAAGTAAATTGAAACTGAAATACTTAAATCTGAAAAATATTTTAACCAAATACTTCTACACTGGGTGTTTACTTGCATTACTAAAACTCTTTTTATCATAGCACTTACAATCAATTAAACACGTTTTATCAAGTGCCCCCCCCCCAATGGCCCAGCGGTATGTCTGCGGACTTACAACGCTAGAATCTGGGTTTCGATACCCGTGGTGGGCAGAGCACAGATAGCCCATTGTGTAGCTTTGTGCTTAATTACAAACAAACAAACAAGCATCTGCGTGAATATAGGTCTCAAGGAAGTTACCCCTCAACTTTCGGATAAAGAGAATGTAAAACTTTTTTTTAATATTTTCTTCTTTGGTACTTTAGAAAAGTTAACTACAGTTTCTTTATCAGTAATTAGTGGAAGAATACTAAGAAAAGAATGATCTACTATTGTTTTAATTAAAATAATATCATAGGAAAAACGCAACATAGAATAAAAAAAAACTACCTGCCACAACTATTTCCCATAAAGTCAAAAAAATGAGTCTACCAGCTATTTGTAACCGAATAGCGAAGTTGACTGTCATAGTCGTAAAACTTTCCCACCCACCAGCTGAAAGTGTGTTCAGCGAAGCGAAGTTGACTGTCATAGTTGTAAAACTTTCCCATCCACCAGCTGAAAGTGTGTTCAGCGACATATTTCGGTTCGACCCTTGATCTGCAGTCAGCAACTCTAACAAATAGGGTGAATTCGGCCTATCCACAATACCTAATGCAATACTTTATGGTAGCAAAAATAAACTTCGAAAATTAGATGAAATATGGCAGTTTTCTATAGAATACGGTAATTGGAAGAAATGGATCGTGAAAATTACTCTAATTACTCTGTCACTAATTTCATCTAGTAACTTGTGTCCAACATACTTGCATCATCCGTGATTATAATAGTACTTCAATAAAACTTAATTACCGCATATGAAGATTCTGATGCCAGTGTGCAATTGAATTCTAAGCGTGCTAAAACTTAATTTGATTATTTTTATAAAGTGTTCTAGCCGCATATCCACTCTCAGCTGTGGGAGTATAATCTCCACAATCAACCCCCTCCCCCTTTAGGTTAAGAGTGGCTATGCAGACAGTAGCTGCTTTGACTGGTTGCCCTGTCAATGGTCAACAGTTCTAAACAGAAATGGTTATGCCAAAAACCCTAGGTTTTTTTATCTGACCCCTCAGCCCATCTGTTTCATAAGGCACCGTTCAAATAATAAGTTCCATTTTTTATTTTATTTTATGATAGTGTTTTCTTATGCCCTCGTACAATTTCCCCTAAGACATTTCCCCAACTGCAGTATTCTCTCTTCTATTTCTACTCTAACGATTTTAATTGTGTTACCTTGTTAAGGAATAATCCCTATTTTTTATAAATACCAGCTATCTAGGAATTAAGTCATATTTCGTAGTCCTCTATAATTTAATGCAACTGCATAGTTCAAATATTTTCCCTTTTTTTTCTTTAGAGCTTGAAGCGTTGAAGATTACTCGACTGTCCGTTCCCCGCTGCAACTGCATAGTTCAGATTTTTTTTCTTTAGAGCTAGAAGCGTTGAAGATTACTCGACTGTCCGTTCCCCGCTGCAACTGCATAGTTCAGATTTTTTTTTCTTTAGAGCTAGAAGCGTTGAAGATTACTCGACTGTCCGTTCCCCGCTGCAACTACATAGTTCAGATATTTTTTTATTTTTTCTTCTAGAGCTTGAAGCGTTGAAGATTACTCGACTGTCCGTTCCCCGATGGATAGAAAATGGAACCTTAGAGTCTGTCACTTTGGACTGTGAATACAGTCTCACGGATAAAGACAACCGCCTTGTTGTCAAATGGTTTTTTAACGATGATCCCAAACCCATATACCAGTGGATTCCAGAACTTGGTTCCCGGCTGGTTTCAGAAAAGCTACAAGGACGTATTGACATGAACTTCTCCGTCACTCCATCCAGCAAGTTCACTGAATTCAGAAATCTCCGAATCCTGAAACCGACGTCCCAGCTTAGTGGCAAGTACTCCTGTCATGTAGCATCTTTCAATGGAATTGACACAGCAGAAGGAGAAATGACCGTTTACGGTAAAGCTCCTTTGATGGGGAATTCATACGCACGATAGTCTTGGAATCAATTAAATTCTTGATACAGTAATTCAGTTACGAATTGAAAACACGAAATACAAAATCCATAAATATTCAACTATAATATATATATATATATTACAAAAAACTAAACTATCAATAATTTTTATCATATACAAACTTTTTCCCTAAGCCTTTTAGTCTCCTACTAATTTAAAATAACAGATACAGTTCATCACTGTATGATTTTCATATTTTAAAAGGTACTTGTAAAGCTATCTCCAAGGCTAGATGTTTATTTTGAAACTACATAAAAGCTTGCATTACTCTAACAGGTAAAATAAAAAAGCAATGACGCACAGTGGATGCTGATGTTTACTATGTTTAAACGAAATGACAGTAATGCGTGTATTAAAAAAACAACAACTAACATTGTTGCACGTGTACTTCAAATGTTCTGTTTAGTTTGCTCATTTAACAGACTTGTGTCTTATCAAAGACAGTAATCCTGACTAATGTGCACGTCGTAAAGAAACTAAAGAAGTTCTCAGAGACATTGGAATTATTTCCTCGTCATTGTTAGCTAAAAATTTTATTTTGTTAATATAGACTGATGTTCTTAAGCTTTTTCAGACCAAATTTAAGGTACAATAATCTCCAGAGCTTTTCTTGTGTTTTTACTCTTTACAACTGGAACACCTTTTTATAACATCATGAACTCCAAGTAAATAATAACACTATATAAGTCTACTGTTTCTGTTATCTGTTTTAATGGTTCAAACACTGTTTAGGTTTACATGACACAACACACTTTATTTTATAATCACATTCATAATGAGGGGGCGTTCCCACTTCCAGTTCCTGAGGTCCGCACTCCTCTCTATAACTTTCTCAGAGAAAATCCACCGGTGAGAGTCAATAAAGAAGGAGCTTATTTGCTGTGGTGTCTCCACCCACATTATGTGTGAAAATAGGCATTACAATTTTGAGCACTATGGGCATTACAATAACGGAGAGCAGTCTGCATTTATTTTGTAGTACATCGTGTTTTTCACTCTTCACAACTTTTGGTCTCCTCTATGTAGTTTTACACTATTACATGATTTATTTAAATGGATTCTTAAAGAATCAATATTAAATTTGATTTCTGAATATATTGTCAAAATTATGACCAATGAATCAACTACTACCTCTATTTTCACCAGATGATATTGCCTTTTATTTTATTATATGAAAGAAGATTTCTTCCAAAACCAATCACTGATCCAATGTAAACAGCATCATACATTTTTAACCATAAATGACGAAAAGTTTTAAGAATTGTTTTCTGTAGTGAGGAGATGACTATTGTATTTTACCTAACTCTGCTTCTCATCCGAACGTTATTTCGGTTGGTATCTCTTACTCTCAATTACGAATTATATTTATAACTTCAACAGTGCTTTCAAACGATTTTGTTCATTTCTGGGCTCTATATTTGACCATGTTAGAAATATAAGTTTCGTTTGAAAGGTGAAATTTTACTTATAGTTGTACCTGTAAAAAATATTTCTAATTTGTTAAAATTATATTGCTATAATTTTTTTTCTTGTTGTTTTTCACCAACACCATGAGTAAAGAAGGATTTTGAAAAGTATGATCTGTCTATTATTAAAGCTTTCTCTACTCAGTTAAAACGATTTGGAGAAGCATCATCTCTCATTAGTAATCTTGGAATGAAACAGATTAAAACCGTTTCTATAGTTCTTTTGAATGCTTCTTATGTAAATAATTTAACTTTGTTTAAGTTCCAACTTCTTTCTGTTTGAATACATTTATTTTTCCTTAATTTCTCCTTTATGTATTGAACTTTTTTTTTATGAAAGAATGCAAACGTTTCTTAGAAAAGTAAACGAAAGGTAATTAATCAAGGAAGTCTTTGGATAAACATGTACTCACTTTTACTTAACATGCTTAGGCTCATCTATATGGAACTTTTCCATCAAGTTCATTGAAAGAGGCTTTTAAAATCAGTTGCATTTTAAAGAGCGGTACTTTATGATATGGACATTTGCCTTCTTTTGCTTCTGGCTGGCGTGTGTTCCGCAGGATGTAATTTGGCTTCAATATAGCTATATCTGTTTGAAAGACATGATCTGGCTTATAGTTAGCTACATCTGCTTAAAGGACATGATTCAGCTTCTAAATAGTTACGTCTATCTGTAGGACATGATTTGTTTGTTTTTTTATAGCTATATTTGTCCCGAAGGACGTGAGTTGGCTTTTATATAATCATGTCTGCCTTAAAGACACGATTTCTCTTCTAGATAGTTATGTCTGCCCCGAAAAAAATAATTTAACTTCTAGACAGCTACAGTTGACTGAACGACATGATTTAACTTCTAGACAGCTACATCTGATTGAAGGACATGATATAACTTCTAGACAGCTACATCTGACTGAAGGACATGATTTAACTTCTAGACAGCTATATCTGACTGAAGGACATGATTTAACTTCTAGACAGCTACATCTGACTGAAGGACATGATATAACTTCCAGACAGCTACATCTGACTGAAGGACATGATTTAACTTCTAGACAGCTATATCTGACTGAAGGACATGATTTAACTTCTAGACAGCTACATCTGACTGAAGGACATGATATAACTTCTAGACAGCTACATCTCACTGAAGGACATGATTTAACTTCTAGACAGCTACATTTGACTGAGGGACATGATATAACTTCTAGACAGCTACATCTGACTGAAGGACATGATATAACTTCTAGACAGCTACATCTGACTGAAGGACATAATATAACTTCAAGACAGCTACATCTGACTGAAGGACATGATTTAACTTCCAGACAGCTACGCCTGCCCCAAAGGATATCTTTTGGCTTCTGCAATGTTAAACGTTTATGACAATATTAAATGACTGCTCATTGCTGTTAAAATATCTAACAGTGTTCATATATGAACTTTTTTAAAAGAAAAAACACAATGATTTATAAAAGCAGTTCTAAAGCTTTCAATTATTTATATGTAATCCTAACTGCTTAATCACTCGTTTGTAAATGCATTTTTTCATCGAATTTACCTTAATTTTTTTATACTTATGGATATTGTTTATGTCAGTCCTTACCAAGACTACTAATCAAAGCTAGAAATTCCACTTGATCTTCCCTCTTAAGCTCCAGCTAAACTTCTTCGCTTCAATTACACCAAAACGAAGTCCGACCGAGCTAAGTTTAGTTGTGAAGTGGGTCATGTTTACCCAGTGCCAGACATCAGCGTATATAAAATATCACCAGGGGAAAGCGAACCCACCATCATAACAGACGGAGTAGCAAAAGTTTCTGATCAAGACGACAGTTATAGAGTACTAGTAACTTATGAGGTAAAAGACAGTGAGCTTAAACCAGATGGCGCCACACGGTTTGAGTGTCTTATCCTCTTTCCCGGAACAGACTATAAGAGATATAGCAGCATAACCTATTATCCAGGTAAGGTTTTACGAAAGTTATAAACATTCCAGTAAATATACTTTATAACCTTATTTAACGTCTCTATTGAGAAACTTGATGTTTTTATTATTGTGTTTATTCTCTTATATAACTTCAGTGTAGACAAGTTTAGGCCCGCGCATTGCTTGGTGGTTAGGGTACTAGACTTGCAATCTGTTGATCGCAGGTACAAATCCTCATCACCGGCCACCCGAGTGTTAAAAAATCCTTGAATTCCAATATTACTAGTCGACCCCAAACTAGTTGGGATTAAGGTTGTTACGAAGAAGAAGTCTAGAAAATTTCAACCTCGTTATAAGATGAATAGAAGTTAAGTCATACGGTGATAGACTTAACATGAGCGAATTTATTAGAGCTTTTCACATTCTTTTACCAAAGGGTGGAAACACAAAAGATACGTTTATACCTTTTCATATAATACGTTTCCTTTCAGATTTTGAAGGTTTGATTTGAAAAAAAAACAATGAAAAATGTTTTAAGTTAATTTTATCAGTAAATGTGTCGTTTAAGAGAACAAATTAATATTTTATTACACGGTGCTAAATAAAAAAACATTGTTCTGCCACCTAACTTAAACTTTTAAAACAAATCTTAAAGAGGATTATGGAAAACGTTAACCCTCTATAAATACCGACTAATAAGTGATTTTGTTAGAGCAATTGTATCAGTGTCTAGATATCTACATTTAATGTATCCGAAAATCATAGCCTAACTTCTTGAAAACACTTTGTTTGTTTTTCTCGATTGTCACCAACGTGTAGAAAACCTATAACCAATTAAAATAGGGTACCGTAACTTATCAGACCTGGTTGAGGAAATGTACGCTTTAAAGACATGTATTTCTTTTACCTTTGCTGTAACTGGTAAAAGAGTGGCTCGATATGAAGTTAGTCCTCGCCTTTGAGAAGAGAAACTTTGGATAATTGTGACTGACGCACTATTTACTCACGGTGGATTTACCTTTAAATTAATGTTCGCGTTGCAGTTTAACAATAAGTGTAACAGTTGATAGCAAACTTGCTTTCCGTTGGTGATATTTTATAGAATTTTAGTAAGAGTTAGTCATCTAATAATACCAACAAATATGTTAACTTGGTTACTTATTTCTAACACACATTTTTTTAAGCTGTTTCATGACAGGATTGTTTTTTAGAATTTTTTCTCTTCTTTGAGGTTTTATTTAAAGAGTATATTTCCGGAAACTGAGTCGATAATATTTATCTAGTATAATTTGAATTAATTTTACTTAAAGATACACTTTATGTATTCAGATATATGGTATTTATTCTAATGTGTTCGTTTACATTTAGAAAAAGAGTATTTTGTGATATCATAATAACTATATCTATATAGCTAAAGGCTAATTCTCTTTTAATTTAACAATTGTAATTTCAACAGATAAATAGTTAATAATTGGTTCTGTCATGGTGAATGGCAACCAATAATTGTATATCAAACTTTTATATTATAATTGTATTAAGATTTTTAACCTCTTTCAAGACTCTAAATGTCCAGACCTAATTACTAGAAGTATTTTTTTATTGTTATCATCGCTAGTTAAAGATTATTGTACCTGTTTTAATACACACAGTATGATGCACCCGTGTAGAAAACTTGATTTTATGAAACCATCTTTTCGATATTATGATAAACTGACTTATCGATCTTATCCCTTAAAGCGATATATCGATGTTCTTCTGGTTGCAAAACTGGTGGCCAATTAATTAAGTTTTTAATGAAACGTAACGGCGACTAAACATGTGTTTATTAACCATTTTTCAATCATACGAAGTAAGAGACAGCTAGAATGGTTGTTATAAGTAAATAATTTGTATCTCACGCCACCAGTTTCTGCTCTTAAGACATCCAGGTACCTGAAGTGTATTATCTTATGTATTAGGTCTATGTACATGATTTCCGAGAGTTTTATGGAAGTAAGCTATCCATACTGTTTTATTCATAATAAGAGTTAATACTTTAAGCAAGTAATCAGAACTCGTAGTGTTGCTTTACTGATTTTAATGTAAATTTTCACTGTACAAATCATATATTCGATATGAAAGAAATACTTTATTTAGCAATATATTATATTATCGCGTTTTGTGTTCAGTTTTCTACCCACACACTAATAATATTTAATGCTGCTTTCATAAATAAGTCCGAGAAACACAGTTATAACTGGAAATTAAAATTAGTCAGTGTACAAAAAAAAATCTGGCAACAAAAGATGGGGTGACAAAATGTTGCTTTCTTTCTATTCAGCGAAACGTAACAACAGGACTTATTTTCTCTTTTTGTGCCAAATTTCTTCTTAAACAGGAAAAGTATTCTATCCACTGCATCTACGCAGATCGAGTGCCAAATAGCTTCAAATGGAAAAATAAATAACCTTTGAATAAAACGTGGAAAACGCCCCCACCTCTGTATACGGATTCTTGTCATGTTGCCTAGTTAGGAGATGAAATCGTTCAGAGTTGAAACTATTCTGCGTGCAGACAAAGAACAAAGCTTATAGCAACTTCATGCAGATAAGGGACTGCTTCTTCCTTTCGGAAAATCCACTTGGCTTAGAAACCCTCTTATTGATCAGACTCCAACATCTTTCTCTTTGATTACGTGTCGCAATTCTTCCAAAAAGTGCTTGATTTTATTAGCCGTCTTTGTGATATTTCTTCAGTGAATTTTAAATTCCGTAAGAGTAAAAGTTTTATTTGTTGTTAAACGCACAACGGGTTATCTGTGCTGTGCCCACCGCAGGTATTGAAATCTCATTTTTAATATTATAAGTTCTCAGTCTTACCGCTGAGACAAAAAAAAAGTAAGAGAAGTAAAAGTAAGCTCTTAATATATTATTTGTAATCATATCCGTTGACAGAAAATTCTTAACATGTTGTTTCCAATTACATCTCATTATAAAAATTCTCTTATAATATTTTTTGGTAATCATATCTCTTCGTAAAAACATTTTTTAATATCATTTCTAATCACATTTCAAAGTTATACAACATCCAAATATTATCTCCGAATAATAATAATAATAACTCTTGTGAAAGGTATTTTAACTCTCAAGCTACCAGTTTGGTTGTATACCATTCACTTCCCGTGGGATCCACATATAACATTATATTGAATAATTTGTGTTGTTGTTTTTTTCCGGTCACAACATTCAGTGTAAAGAGCTAATAAAAACTGGTGAAATAACTCATTTTCTATGTAAAGTACGTAAGAAACCCAGCAGTAATTAGACGGATTATTTCCAATAATAATAAGATTTTTGTTATGTGTATTTGTATGTGACACGCTATTAGTGACTCTATAACCAACAGAGATATAGGCCCACAACCAATTTGATACACAAATAGCTTGAAATATTCTACTTAAAAAGTCTATAGCTAATTGATAATTCTAGGGTTAAAATCCCAGTATATTTTAGAAAGTATGTGACAACATTCTTATCAGTTTATGTTTAATGCTGGATATTTCCCCAAAATTATTCGGAAAAAAATTAACGTTATTGAAAAAGTTGATCAGATTTTATAGGATCCCATCCTGTGGGCATAATTTGAATGAAAATGGAGCTGTATGTCTTTTGAAAATAGAAGAAATTAGGGTGAAAAAATTATAAGTCAGTGCAATTTTAATTTTCAGCTACAAAATGTTACTTTGATTGGACTAATATTTGAATAAATGTTATCATGAATGTAAGAACAGTTAGCTTCCAAAACTATGCCATCACTTGGCTTTAAAATCGTAACCCTGAACTGTTATTTTGGGTTGCATTATCACACAAAATTGAATTACTTTTTTCTATCAGTTTAAAAATTGATCAAATTCAAGATACTTCACTTGCACTCAGTGTTGTAGATCCAACCATGATTTTAAAAACGTGGTTTTACTATTCATTTACTTGCAATCAAATTAATGTTAAAATGCACTTTCAATAAACACTCCTTTGCGAGTTTCTTACGCTTGAAAGCGTGTGACAAGGAAGTACAAGTTCGGACATTCTTGTATTTCTACCTATATTTATAACATGCATGAAGTAACATTTGATACTGTATGTTATTACAAGGAGTACTTGAAAAGCAAGAATCCTTCGGATATCTTGAATGGGATAGTGAAATGTGATGGATAAACAGTGTCCACTTTATATATTGTTTGTTTGTTTGTTATGGATTTCGCGCAAAGCTACAAGAGAACTATCTGCGCTAGTCGTCCCTAATATAGCAGTGTAAGACTAGAGGGAAGGCAGCTAGTTATCACTTTATATATATAAACAATTTATAGTATTCATTAGACGACAACAAAACTTTGAAATCCGATTATTGTTATAATTAGAAACTAAAATCTACAAACAAATATACTTTACGTTAGCCAAAAAATTGAGCATTTTCTGATAAACATATCACGTAAAAAAGGCCTATAACAGACTTTGGGCCGAGACTCGAACCCAGGACTTCTAGTTAATGAACTACACAGATCGTGTTCCTCAATTCCCAGTTATAAGGTTACATACGACGTTATGGTCAGACAATTAGTTGGTTTATTGAACACCATCCAACCAGTTTATATGAAGTCTACCACAGACTTACATTTATTTATAATTTTGGTTAGGAAATTATTAAAGGTCACTTTCTAGCATAAACCTTTTTACGTAAAAAGGTCTGAGACTGGGCCTTGAACCCAGAACCTCGAGCTATCAGGGTCATTGCTTTAACACTGAGCTATCCAAGGCTACAAATCAGCTCTGTCACTGTTCACCCACACGTTGAAGAAAGACTGTAAAGAAATAAAAAAATAGGAGTATAGGGACGTTGTTTTCAATAGTATTTATAAACTGAAAACTTACATTTAGATACAAAGTGTAATTATTGAATTGTGAAAATTGTGCCATAAGACGGAATACTTTTTTTCTTATTATGAGTGGGACAAACATCATGTAACACTCAGTTAATAAGTTATTTATCTGATGTTTGCAG